TAAGACTTACAGAACCGTAGATCCTAAACTCTCTTTTGTCAACGTCACCTAAAAGCAACGATACTCCAGAGAAGAGGAAACTGCTAATGACAAGCCGAGTAATCATCAGAACCAAACAGTAAGATCAACTGTAATATTGATGCACTCCTATAACAATTCAAAGAGTCTCTCATAATAGGAATAAAGAGATAAATAAATAAATAAAAGCTTGCCTAGGAAAACTCGAATCTGCTCAAACTTCACTTACGAGTAACATGTCTCCTATTTTCAATAACCGTAGAAATAACCTAGGGCTCCTGGCCATAAACGTGAACTCAATCAGCTTTCTCAAACGAAGATATGATTTACAGAAAGTGATAACTCATGATAACATTGACGTAGCTCTTATTTCAGAGACTGAACTGAGTGGGAACCATGCAACAACATTCGACAACTACAGCATAGTAAGAAGAGATAGACTAAAATCCAAGAGAGGCGGAGGAACAGCGATCCTCATCAAGAAATGCATTAAGCATACGGTGATCACATTTCGTAACGCTGACAACTTCAAAGTAATAGAACACACCTACATCAAGGTCGGAGTTAATAATAACTGTTTCTACTACTTCAGCCTATATGCTAATCATTCTGATACCCAATTATTTTCCAAAGAACTTAAACAACTGTTCATTAATCTCAAATTAATGAAAAATAATAACTTTTGTATTATTGCCGGCTATTTTAACGCCAGAAACATGTGCTGGGGAGATACTATAAAACATGATAGAGGTAAACAACTTAAAAAATGGGAGGACGATTTTGAAATAACATTCAAAAGCAAAGTTTACCCGCCCGCATCAGCAACATTCCCTAAATCAGGATCACTATTAGATTACTCCATCGCAGATAGAAGGATTGAATTTTTGATTGTTCATAACGATCAAATACCTGTCATAGCTTACAACAGCGATCATAACACCCTGTTTTTCCACCTGGATATAAGCTATCTTATGGTTAGACTTGCCGTTAACAATGACTAACTCATTGTCTACAATTACAAGTAAGCCAATTGGAAGAATTTTGGACACCTAAACAAGCAGTTTAAAGAAGAAGACGAAGCACCTGTGAACCCGAACCTGTCAATACAAGAAAAAAACATGCATATTGAAAAACTCGAAAACTTGATTACCGCAGCATATACCAAAATAATCCCAAAAATCAACTGGGACAAACGGAAATATCACGAAAGTTACAAAAACAATTTAATTGACAAGCTACACAACTTTAAATCATTTTAGACAACTAGATTACACCACAGTAGAGTGCTGCTACTTTGGCGGACCCCACTCTCATCCCCACCACAAAGTGGGGATGACTTGGTGTCAGCCGGAGCGGTTTCACAGGGAGGTTGCCGCGTAGCGCTGCGTGAGGCAACGAAATCATAGGTGGGGGGTAAAGGATTCATAATTCAATAATGTAATTATTATTTGCTAATTAACATATATACCTGTTAATTATTTAATGATTTTTATGTGATTTACCGCGAAACACCAAATTTTTCAATCTTTACTAATGGCGCATGCGTGCAGCGTCGCGCTTAGTGTGGTTTGCTGAAGGGCATTGACGCGACATCTAATGGTTTAGCGTGGCGACATAGCTCTCAGCAGGTATACTGTAAGCCGCGGCTATATTACCATGCTCGAGAGTAAAAGTGGAGAGACTGGCGCACGGTGGGACTGAATCCGATTCACGCTAGCTGAACGCTGTTTCGAGTGTTCAGTCTTGCCCGCTCGACGTTCGGGGCGTTTGTTGCTACCGCTTGTCGCGTGAGAAAATGAGATTGAAGAAGCTGCGGACGAACGCGTTGCCGTATTTACGGCCGCTACACGCAGATATGTATAGTCGGACTGAGAAAAGAGTTCCTCAGATGCTCTTTATGTGTTCTTGGACGCTTGCGCAGTAGTAAAAAACATGGTAGAAGGGGTAGAAAATCAGTGGTGCGGAGCCCGAAAGCATTGAAGCAACTGAGGAACTCTTTTCTCAGTTCGACCATATGCTCTAACTCCCTTTTAGTTGTAGGCGTGGCGCATGAGCAGTAAATTGTGCAAGTGAGAGCACAACAACACAGCAAAACATGAAGGCATAGATTTGATGCTACGAGCCACGTGTATTACACAACAATGCTTGACGCCGTTGCTTAGCAGCGGGGCGTGATGGCCGCCGCATATACACAAATAGTATTCTTGTGCAAATGTAATTAAACATAATAAGATACCCTATCATTTACTTCAATGTATGTTTACATCAGCCCAACATAATCATGACTTATAAATACATAGTAAAAATTATAAAAATACAGTGCTACGGTGTTGAAAGATGTTTTATTTATTACTTGTTCTATATTTAATAGGAAGTGTTGAAAACGCGTCTCTAATGCGGCGCTTTTTATTCTGTATAGCAGTTGTTTTTGTTTTACGATGTGTAACAACCTAATTGAAGGATGTTCGTCTAATTGCATCAAACGAAATTACTATAGTCGTCGTACGTTCACCAGTAGTCAACGAGCGTATTGTTTCATCATTAATATAATCACTATTTGTATAATTCAGGGTTACACCTTTTACTTTACATACTTTAGCTGTCGAACCATCAGGCTTTTCTACGATATAAGCATCAAATTTCGGGCCACCAGATATAAAAGATTTTATGTAACTGCCTGTACCATAGCTCTCTAGCTCATCAGTTAAATCACCCAGATATTTGCCTGTTTTAAGATCTGTACTATTTCCATTAGACATATAAATAACTGAGTCAGTATTACAATACAAAGCGCGAGCGCCTAATTTTTTTAGATAAGAATATAACTTCGAACGGGCTTGGGCTGTTGTGTAAGCTGCTATGACAAAATATCATTATTAACGCAGTATAAACCTGTAATATCGATCTCAGGATTTGTCAGTAATTCCATGAGCATAACACGATTACTTACTATTCCAGTTTAGTCCACGTTGCCCAAATTTACACCATAATGAATTTAGAAATAACTTTGCGACTGATTGCGAACCGGGATTATGTATTATTTTTTTCGTTTCTGATTTAATGCCTTCAGCTTTTCCATAATTTTTAACTTCCCAGTGGGAAGTTATAGTAATGGATCCGATTTTGCGAATCCTGAATTTTGACATACATCCACGTTTTAAGGCCCCCAGAGTCGAATATGACCGTTTTTCAGTGGACGTATGTGTGTATACGTATGTGCGTTCAAAATTATTTTTCGCCTCGATTATCTCGAGAACAAAAAATGATATCGACGTGGAACGAACTGCATTCGACACGTAATTGTGCAACTAAGAACTGATTAGGTTTTCAGCGAAATCGGTCCAGTAGTTTCTCATGCAGAATTAAAAAACTGGAAAAAATGGTAAACTACCTGAATTTTGAAATTTATAAATTATATCACTTTTTAGACAAAATTACGAAATCTTTTGGAAAATATGAAGATTAAATGTTTGTAATACTTGTATGAAAATATGATGACAATATTTCATCGAAAAAAAAATTTTAAAAAACAAAATCAGCAATGAAAGAATCGTAAACTCGTGTCAGGATTGAGAAAACAGCAATTAAGACGCTGTAATAGTCAATCATAATTGTTAATAATATGAAATTGTGTTCATCACAATTAAACATTGTTACTAACAAATGATTGTTGATCATTGTAATATTTAAATAAAAAGTTTTAAATTGTTATAAATAATAAGAATAGGGATCCGTGAAATTGTTCGAGGAGTAGAAAGACGTAGCCGTAAAAAGCTGACTTTTGAAGATATTCTGTAGCGTTCTATATTAAGTATCACGAATAATGATAATTCATGCTTTCCACGCTCACTCGTTGCTGCTGAACTTCATGCTGAACGCGGCAAAATTCGTGCCGGTAATCTACAAAAACGTTGGAAGATAATGTGTGACCGACGGTGTAATTTGCAACGTGAAGCAGTCTTAGAACTAGTAGGCAGATCAGGCGTTAAAATACCTCGTCAAGGCTGTGGCTTTGATGAAATCAATGCTTTCTAACGATATTTTGTCCACACTGGTACGGCTATTGAAGTGTTCGAGTTCCACACCTTAGGAAAAGGAAGTCCACCCTTACTCGATGTTCAGCAGGTCGTTGAGGAGCATTATGGTTCTATCAGCCAAACACTATTCATTTGATATTATCAGCAAACACACCATTATGAACCTATATTGAATCTCAGTGCGGCAATAGGTTCGGGTTTTTTTATACGGGTTGCAATAAAAGTTATGCTACGGCCCCCGCCTTACATCGTTCTTTTTCTAAATGTCCGCGGTGTGGTAGTGCATCTGTTTGTAAACCTGTAAAACAGCGAATGTGTGATGAATGTAATAGATATTTTATAAGTAATAGTTGCTATGATAAACATCTATTGAAGGGGTCTGCTTCACTTAATGGCGAAGATAAAGATTTAACTATCTGTAATCTAATACAAATTCGTAAAAAATGTTTTCATCTAAAAATATACAGTACATCTGGAACAAAACAGCATATGTGTAACGAAACTTTTTGTCGTATTTGTAATCGTAGCCGCTCAATGAACCATCGCTGTTATATAAGTCCACTTGATCCAACGAGGCCTCAAAAAGTAGTATTTTTATTTTACGATTTCAAAACACAACAGCACGAACATGTCAAAGGTGACAAAATGAAAAAACTACATGTCCCTAATCTTTGTGTCGTTCAGAAAGTATGCGTGTATTTTGTTGGTAATAATAGTTTATCAAAAAACTATGCTTTTTGTGGTTAACGTGAATATGTATTTCATGTCAATCCGATCGGTAATCTTGTAGATCTTGCATTTCAAACATATAAATCTTTTTCTAAAATAATATGTTTTGCTCATAATTTATGTAGTTTTGATGCACAGTTTATTCTTCGTTATTTGATAGAAAACAAAAAAACACGTATTCCAGAGCTTATTTTAAATGGTAGTAAGATTATTGTCATGACCATAGATAATGTAACATTTTTAGATAGTTTAAATTATTTACAAATGCCTTTAAGGGCTCTGCCTAAGGCATTTGGTTTTGACAACAAAATAACTAAAGGCTTCTTTCCACATTTATTTAACACGCCTGAAAACATCAATTATGAGGGACCTCTCCCTGATATGAAATATTATTCTCCTGATGCAATGCCTAATAAAGAACGTGAGTCTTTCATATCCTGGTATAATGAACAGAAACAAGCTAACTATATTTTTAATTTTCAAAAAGAATTTATTCACTATTGTCGTGCTGATGTTATAGTGTTAAGGCGAGCTTGCATAGCTTTCAAAGATATGATACTTAAATGTGGTAACGTTTGTCCTTTTTCTGAATGTTGTACATTAGCATCGACATGCTCAAGAATTTTTCGAAACAAATTTTTAAAAGCTGATACAATTGGTATCTTACCGCCGCGCGGTGAATATCGGTGGTCATCCAATCAATCATCAACTGCGATTTCGTGGTTAATATTCCAGGAGGAAAAATGCGGTCACATTATAGATTACACTCCACGACGTAAAAAGATCTGGTTACCTTGTGGTACATTAGTCGACGGTTATTATCACAATCCAGAAACTCAAGAAAAAATTGTATTTCAATTCCATGGTTGTTATTGGCATGGCTGTACAATGTGTTATCGCGTAAGCAGATATCAACAACTTCGTACAAGTGAAACATTTGATCAACGTTTAGAATTAACACGGGCCGCTTCAAACAGAATACGTTCAACAAGGTATACTCTTATTAAGAAATGGGACTGTAACTTCCGAAAGTTTTTAAAAAATAATCCTAGTTTGGAAATATCTATTAATTCTTACCCCCTATTACAAAATACACCTCTTAAACTGCGTGATGCTTTCTTTGGTCGGCGTAGAGAAAACTTTGTAATATTACGTAATGCTAATGGATCCGAAAAAATTAAATATGTTGATGTATGTTTACTCTACCCTTACGTATGCAAAACAGGTAGATTTCCTGTTGGACACCCTACAATTCACGTCGGCACTGAATGTGATGGAATTCTTAAAAATAGAAAGTATAAAAAAATATAAAAATATGGAATAGTAGTACACGTTACTCAAAAATAATATTTCATTACGCTGAATGGCATAAAGATTATAATAACAATCCAAAGTTTTTTCCTCTTGAATTTGAAGAAGGATTACTAACTAGCAACGATTATACGGCTGATCACTCACCGAAATTGATTATTATTGACGATCATATACGCAAATCATCAAGCAGTACAATTATTGATCTTTTCACGAAGGGTAGTCATCATCCTAATCTGAGTATTATATCTATAACACAAGAATTATTTTATCAGGTATAAGAACAACGTGACATTTCTTCGAATGCTATCTACATCGTAATTTTTAAAAACCCCCGTGATCGTTCACAGATCCAGTATTTAGCCCGGCGAGTCTTCCCAGAAAATATACGCTTTTTTCAAGAAATATTTTACAACTGCTCAGCCACGTAGCTACTTATTGCTAGACTTGAAACCATCAACACCTGAAAATTGTAGATTTCGCACGTGCTTTTTTTCAGAGGATCCGAAGTATCACGTTTATGTACAACGCAAACCTATAAATAAGAGCACACATAATCACAATTTACCAGGTATTAATCAGTGACGGGGTTAAGTGCATCACGCAAAAACAAGCATCAATAGTCAGTGCTTTATTCTATCTAAACAAAGAAAAGCGAATGGCTATATTAACAAAAGCTGATCTTCAGCTGGTGCGATACATATGCGAATGTGCTCTTAACATTTTACACGGCAATGTGTCATTGACAGCGGATCAAAAACGTAAATTAAAATAGCACATTACTCTCTTACGGCTTTTAGCTTCGTGTGGAAGTGCTAAGAGAAAAAAGTAGATCATTTTACGAATAGGGTGTGGTTTTTTACCGATTTTTTTGGCACCTATTCTGGGCAGCTTAATATCAAAATTAATTAACGACTTAAAATGGAACATGCTAAAAAAATTGTTTCAATACCTGAAGAGATTGTGAAGAATTTTCACTCGTCCGACACGAAATCATTAACGAGCAGGTTAGATAAAAGTAATGATTCTGTATTAACGCACTTTGATCAAGAAATGAATGAAATATTATTTTTACAGTTTATCAAGATAAACGTGAGAAGTGGAATGCCTATTCACAAGTGCTGGAAAGATATTTGCGGTTGATCAACAATATAAGCCGGCCTGCAGTAGGGCAGCATTTGACTCAAAACGACAAGGAAAAATCGTCGACATATGGTGACGAAACAGGGGAATCAATATATAATTCGCCTGATCATAATATTAATCAATCTGTTATTGATAGTGTGCCGAAGAAATTCCAGTCAAAAGCAAAACTTCTCGATAGACGCTTAAAAAACATGCCCGATAATATTATCTTGTGGGATAACATAGGACTTGTTAGTATTGAGGAGCGAGTGATACCAGGATCTAATACTATAGATCTTTGGTATGATGCCATGAGAGCTAGAAAAAATGAATATGCTATAGGTACAGACCAGTTTGTACATGTTATTCATAACGGCTACGTGCCACGGAAGTACATAAGAAATAAAGGGGTATTTGATCCTGAAAAAGAAGAAACGTCCAAACCGACGGGTATATCACGAAGACAACAGCTTATCATACCGGATATAATAGCTAAAAGATCTTCATCAATAAAATTACAAAGCGAGTCAGAGCTGCCTGATGCTCTTGATTTTTTGAGTGCTCGTAGCAGTAATTCTCAAATACGTTCAGGCGTTTCAAAGCGAAAGTGTAAAGATAAATGGTTAAAATTTTCGTTTAAGTGATGGCCGCTCTTAAAAAGATATATTACAGTCCTGAACATCCGGCAGATTTGCTGGTGCAAACCAACTGCGAAATTATACAAAAAACATACATAGGGATCTTGTGGGAAAATGGCTAGAAAATCAAGATGCTTACTCATTACACCGTCTAACGGGGCGGCGTTTTTCGAGGCGCACATATAATGTTTCACATGTTGACGATGTATGAGAAGCAGATTCAGTTGATCTACGTAATATTGCTACTTATAATGATAACATCAAATATTTATGAATTGTTATTGATGTTTTAAGTAAATTTCTATGGGTTGAACCATTATTTAACAAAACAAGTTGTACTGTTGCTCAAGCAACGAGGCGTATTTTTAGACGTAGTAATAAAAGATTACCGCACATATTACAGACAGATCATGGTAGAGAATTATTGGGCTCTAATTTTCAAAAAATTTTGAACAAAAAAGAAATTCTTTTTAGAACTGTAAGAAATCCGGATGTCAAAGCAGCTATTGTGGAACGATTTAATCGTACTTTGAAAAAGCGAATGTGGCGTTATTTTACATATACACATACAAAACGATACGTCAACGTTCTACAGAAAATTGTCACCGCTTACAATAATACTAAACATAGTGCTACAAAACTTACGCCTGTTGAAATTGACTTTAACAATGAGTTAACAGCTTTTCTGAACATAAAGCATAAATATAAGGACAATAAGTGTTGTAAAAATCATCCAAAAAGCCTAAATATAATGTTGGTGATCTCGTTCGAGTCAGTAAAACAAAAGCAGCTTTCACGGAAGGATATACGAGCCTCACACGGCATTATAATCGGAATCAAAACAATAAGTAAATATCTTATTGACATCACAGCATGGTATTCCATGGTACGAAGACTCATCATCAATCAAAGCTGTAAACAATAATTTACTGGCTATTACACAAAGTGCTGAGCAGATTTATACACAAGGCTTCATGCGAAGTCTATTAGAAACGGTTGTGTGTTAAAATACTATAAATACCGACGTCATGTTTAATAAACCGTCGTTAACTGTCCCGTCAACCAGAGAAATCGTTTGTTCATATCACTCTGCTCTAACGTACGTGTTTACAGGCCACTGTTCAATGTCAGCTGCTCATTATTACCGCTATTGGCTACAAAATAATTCATCAATGTGCCTTAAATCTTCGACCACTCCAACAGTCAAGCAAAATTTAAATTGCGCCGATAATTACTGCAAAGCATGTAAAAAGAAACGTTTGAAATATAATATAAAAACATTTATTGGTGAAGGGCTTAAATTTAATCAAATATGTTTGAGTAAGAATGAAATTGTATTTTAATAGAAATAATAACTCAATAAAACCATATTCAACTATTTCCGCTGTCAATTCTTTAAATACTTTATATCATTTATATTTAAAAATAATTAAAAATGTTCAATTACGTTTGATCGGAAAAATTATTTGTTATAAGCACGTGTATATGTGGTGGCCATCACGCTAAGCAACGGCGTCAAACATTGTTATGTGATACACGTGGCTCGTAGCATCAAATATATGCCTATCTTTTTTCTATGCCTTCATGTTTGCTGTGTTGTTGTGCTCTCACTTGCACAATTTATTTCTCAAGCGCCACGCCTACAACTAAAAGGAAGTTGGAACATACATATCTGCGTGTAGGCAGCAACAGGCCCCCCGTGCATAGGCCCTGACCGGGCAAGACTGAATACTCGAAACAGCGTTCAGCCAGCGTGAATCGGATTCAGTCCCACCGTGCGCCAGTCCCTCCACTTTTACTCTCGAGCATGGTAATATAGCCGCGGCTTACAGTATACCTGCTGAGAGCTATGTCGCCACGGTAAACCATGAGATGTCGCGTCAATGCCCTTCAGCAAACCACATCAAGCGCAACGCTGCACGCATGCGCGGCAACTCCCACAACCTGTGAAACCGCTCCGGCTGACACAAATTCATTCCCACTTTGTGGTGGGGATGGGAGTGGCAGCATTCTACTCACTACATTAGCACTTTAGTTGGCTTTAGCGACCGCTCACCAAAGCAGATAAAGTTGGTTCTACGGGAGGCCAAATTTCAAGCCTTGTGCCTAGGGCTTTAAAGTCAACATGTGACCGGTGGGACTAGGTACAATTGGCCAATTGAGGTCGAACTCGTAGTATGTCGTAAGGCCTTGGACTTGTTACGTGTATCCCTGTGCCTGTTTCAAGGTGCAGATATACGCGTCTCGGGAAACACCATCGCAAAGAGAGTAGAGTAATAATTTCCCAGAGTTATGCCCTAGTAGGCAAGGAACTCGATTTCCGTCCTTCGGTTGGGGAAGGCGAGGATCATATACCCCCAGAGGGTTACAAATATTGTGACTCATTGAGACTCATCCTGAATAAGAAGAACCTACCAACTATTTATCACGTCAGACGTCATTCTTCTTATAAAAGCATTAACACGAACAGCCGCATTGCAGGAGGCAACCTGTGCTTCTCTGTTGACTTACCTAATAGAGATTTTGTAAACACAGACAGAGCATCTGACAAATGCATATGGCTAAAAGATGGCATTCATCTTGACGAAATCAGAAGGAAAGCCAAGATAAGAAGAGAAAGAATAAAAGAAGAATTTATTAGAAATTTCCAGGAGGAATTTCCAGAAGATTTGAAGGTGTGTAAAATACATATATGTATCAATCCGTCTATAGTTGAACAGACAAAATATGCATTACTGTAAAACCTATTAAATTTGCATGTTTTTTCTTTTTTTTTCAAAGTAACAATACTGAATTAATGTTAAGTTGGTTTTTACATCTGGCATAAATGTAACTTCCAATAAAAAAAAATATTTCAAAAAGTTTATCTTTTGATTTGCTAAGATCAATTGTTTACAAAACAGTGGCACTTTTGATATAATGTATTAAATATCTCGGAAACCATTAGTCGTAAAGATTTGAGACTGCTCTTATTGTTTATCTCGTAAAAAGCTTTAGAAATTGTACGCTTGATGTTAAAAAAAAAAGCTTTTTCTCATAAACAAAAAGCCCATTTTGCCATGTGGTCATAAATTCATACCAATGTCTGCCATGACTAAAAATAACCTATTGAACAAAATCCAATGGAACAAGTTTTTTTGTAATTTTCAACTTATTTACAATGATAACCGCGTTACACGGTTATTTATAGAAAACTAGCAAATATCCGCGGCTTCGTCCGCTTAATCTGTATAATTA